TCTGGGTACAGTATAATCAAGTACTGTCTGTATCTGGGTAAGTACTATCTGTATCTGGGGGTACAGTATATAATCAAGTACTATCTGTATCTGGGCACAGTATATAATCAAGTACTATCTGTATCTGGGCACAGTATATAATCAAGTACTATCTGTATCTGGGTACAGTATATAATCAAGTACTATCTGTATCTGGGTATATATAATCAAGTACTATCTGTATCTGGGTATAGTATATAATCAAGTACTATCTGTATCTGGGTACAGTATATAATCAAGTACTATCTGTATCTGGGTACAGTATATAATCAAGTACTATCTGTATCTGGGTACAGTATATAATCAAGTACTATCTGTATCTGGGCACAGTATATAATCAAGTACTATCTGTATCTGGGCACAGTGCTATATCCAGTACTATCAGTATCTAAACTTTCTATCACAAACTAGTTTGGAAGAACCTATTACTCAGCTATAATCAACAGAGGTCAGTGTGACCTTGGGTAATCTCATCAGAGACAGTAATGAACGCACCTAGAGACAACAAGGGTACAGACAGACGCATTAACCACAGGTGCAGCAGGAACATTCATCACGAAAGAATCGTTGCTGGATTTTCCGACCAACCTCTTGAAATCTAGTTGAATACAACTTTTTTTAAAGTTTCGGTTATGTACATGAATGTTAACAGATCCCTCAGCACAGCAGCCATCTTTGTTTCAGAGTCTGCATTTCTGTGAAGTTGCTGCTGCTGCCATAAAAGCACATTTGTTTGAATTTCCTGTTATTTAAAACATTGATGATGCGTCCGAGTGCAGTGAAGTGTAATCCTGTTGTGTGTCCAGGTCTCTATCTCGGGACACAGCGATCATCACATACATCCACAGCCAGTCGAAACACACACACAAGGGAAATCTAAATGAGAAGGTTATTCCAGATTTATGTTTCATTAAGAGCCATAAAATATTTGTAACTTTAAATTTAAACTTAAAACGAGGTTGAGCAGCTGCAGTATCAACATAAGGTCTTTGTATGGGGTTGTCCACCAATGGAACCTGTCAACACTGAACCGCCAGGGAATAACCTGTTTCAATTACCTACAGAGTGAGTGAGTTTGGTTTTACGCAGCTTTTAGCAATATTCCAGCAATATCACGGCAGGGGACAACAGAAATGGGTTTCACACATTGTACCCATGTGGGGCATCGAGATGAACAAAGATGAGGTTTACGGTTCAAGTCATGACTGAATACAGATCTTAACACTGTTTACTGAAAGCCACAACTCCATCCCTTCCAGTGAATGAGTGAGGGAGTTTGGTTTTATGCCTTTTTTAGCAATATTCCAGCAATATCACGGCAAAGGACATCCGGAAATGGGTTTCACACGGGGCATCGAACCCGGGCTTTCGGCGTGACGAGCGAACGCTTTAACCACAAGGCTACCCCTTGTCTGTGTACAAATGTCTGTCTGTACACGTGTCTGTCAAAAACAACCATCATTAGTCAACACATCATTAAAATGACAGCACACCACACAACCCTTGAAAACGGCAAATTTCTACTATTCCTTAACTATTGTTCTCTTTAGCAAGTACTGTCGGACTAATGCCAACTTCTACCAATGTCTGTCAGTTAGTTAATCTGTCTGGATGCACTCAAACACCTGACTGGCACTGGAGGAACTTCAACCTGACAATAGTGTTGTGCTTTGATGATAATACAATATAGAAAGCAGTTATTTCTGGCAGCAGGTATCCATGTCAGACCATCAACTTGTCTGCACCGGTACCAGTAATGGCTAAGTTTGTTTTATTTTCCAGACAATACAGGGAAAGCACTTCAGAACACGACTCCAGACAGCAGTGTGTAGACCGAACCAGCAGAAGCAAGCATGTCAAAATAAACATATGTGATGTCAGTGCCAAACATGCAGCATACATTAGATATACAGATATATGCTGTTTGAAACAACCGCTTTTCATGTATTCTTTGTATTCTCCCCAGGGAGTTGAGATTGATAATAGGGGCAGTGGGTAGTAGTGGTTAGATTGATAATAAGATGTGCCATTGAGATTGACATCCAATGATCGAGGAAAATATACCAGCGCCTTGAGTGAGTGAGTTTAGTTTTATGCCACACTCAGCAATATTCCAGCTATATGGTGGACCAGCACCTTGAGCATGCACTAGTGCGTGGATATGTGCGTTATATATATATCCTATAATAATATATTAATAAATCATCACCTATAAACATTTGTAAAACTGAAGTGTATTCATTTATATCAGCAGTTGAAAGGCATTATCACGTATACAGTTGATATCTTGAAGTGTCATGACATGACTTTCGTCATTTCAGGAACTGTTACCATTTACATGACAACAGGTCATGACAGAGGCTGCCTTCATTCAGATGTCACATGACACAGCCTCACCCATCTAGCAGGTCAGCAGTTGACACTATAAGTTACGTAAGTTGGGTAAGCAAATCATTCACAAGGTCATAAGTTCCACAAACACGATCCTCTCAATTCTGTCCCGATTCATATGCCTGGGCCCCATTTCACAAAGATATTGTAAAGCTACAACTGTCATAACTCATATATTGTAACAGACTTACGACTATGCTACGATAGCTTTCTGAAACGGGGCCATGGTCTCTACACAATTCCAGGACTTCACACACAGTTCCAGCTGCTAAAGAACCTTACTTCCCTCTCCTGTCGTGGCTGTGACAGACTGGCTCTCCACGATGTTGATCCGACTCAACCACTGATACCTAAACCCACCAGGGTTCATCATCAATCATCTCTTTTGCAAAAAAACAGAAGTAGCTTTAAATAAGAATTTATTTTCGAGGTTCATTGGCTGGTTTGGGAATTTTCGGAGCCCTGAATTCCTAGTGGACTACCTTCTTCTGTAGTTGGTTACTTCGAAACAGATCAAGAAGGAGGGGGAAATAGAATGAGACATGTTTCGAAGGAATTATACCGTTTTTATAGTTCATCATAAAGTGCGAAGAAGGAAGCTATTGCTCGTATTGACATAGCTGCAGGGAATGCTGGGATTGCCAAAGAAAATATCCTCGACATCTGATAGAGCTGTACCAGCCAAACTCTCATCCTTGCTTCCTAAAGGTAATCTGGGCTTTTATCCTCCAGCAAGTGATTGGAAATGTTTCTGTAAATTGAATAAGACTAAATGTTTTTGCTCCATTAGCATGTATAAATGTTCTGGAGTTTTTTCTCTCATCAGTGTTTGGATTGGACGATATCCAGAGCCTTGATTAGATATGCTTTTTTTATGATGTTAACTAGTCAAAACATTTTTTTCCATTTCTCCAATCACCATTCAATGGTGGCGTATAGCAACAATCAAATCCTTCCTGATATCTGGTGTATGGTTTCCCTGCAAATCCAGGACCTGGTGAATTCAGAATATGCAAGATTTCCATGCACAACTATTTCAGTTATGTCAATATGTGAACAATCATCGCCTGCCCCAGCCAGACTATGGGTGGTGTGTTTTCAGAAACAGGAGCATTTATAAACATATCATCCCTAACAAGAGAGCCATGGGATGCCGGGGAACGCTGGCATGTTGAGGAATAACGGTGAATGCTGGCATGTTGAGGAATAACGTCCCTGAGGTCTGCAAACAAGCAGCCAGAATGGAGTTTAATGTAAGGCACACCCGATATTTACTTTTAGTGCAGTGTCACATTTTCATCAGACATTATAATGATCTGTTATGTCATACCATGGCTGAATATATACTACTCACACTTTGCTAAGGATCACAAAAATTCGCAACTTTACTTAAACATAGATTTATAATTTGAAATTGTACCCATTTAAAACTGGATAAATAATGATATGGTAACGCATCTTTAGGAAAACAGCCACTTTAAGCTAACCGTATGCACTTCATACATGAGTCACCATAAAATGGTTTTCATGGCACCAATCAACCATTTTGCAAATCATGGCACGGGTCATTTCAAAGTACACAACACCTGTCAATAGCAGGTATGGGATCCACAAAAGATGAAATGACACACTGAAACCTAGGATCCATGCTTACAGTAAGCTTAGATATCTAAACCAAATCTGACCCCACATCATAGATTTCTGTTGAATCTATGATATTACACCAGGAACTGTTATCTCATACCATGGTTGAATATATTATACCAGGATCTGTTCTCTTATACCATGGTTGAATATATTATACCAGGATCTGCAGTCTTATACCATGGTTGAATATATTATACCAGGATCCGCTGTCTTATACCATGGTTGAATATATTATACCAGGATCTGTTCTCTTATACCATGGTTGAATATATTATACCAGGATCCGCTGTCTTATACCATGGTTGAATATATTATACCAGGATCTGCAGTCTTATACCATGGTTGAATATATTATATCAGGATCCGCTGTCTTATACCATGGTTGAATATATTATACCAGGATCCGCTGTCTTATACCATGGTTGAATATATTATACCAGGATCCGCTGTCTTATACCATGGTTGAATATATTATACCAGGATCCGCAGTCTTATACCATGGCTGAACATATCATACCAGGATCTGCTGTCTTATACCATGGTTGAAGATATCATACCAGGATCTGCTGTCTTATACCATGGCTGAATATATTAAACCAGGATCTGCTGTCTTATACCATGATTGAATATATTAAACCAGGATCTGCTGTCTTATACCACGGTTTGCTATCTTTTACCAGGATCTGTTATCATATACCAGGATCCAGGATATTTTACCATGGTGTGTTATACAAGGGTATAATGTTCTTGTAACCATGGTCTGCTATGTTATACAAGGGTCTGCTACATTAAACCACAGACTACCATCTCAACTGTTGTGTGCCAGGTAATGGTAATATAAGATTACTAATCTTCATATAAACAGTTGTGTGGACAGTAGTTACTAGTTTCCCTGTGTGTAGCAGTAAAGAAGAAAGTCCTACCCGGATTCTTCTCATGGCCGCCACAATCTCCACACGGCTGCTTGGTCTCGGTACATCCAATGTGCCGATATACTGCAAAAAAACATTGGAATTAATTGTACGTACAAACAAAACAAATACCCACAAACAAATAGTAGACAAATCCGCAAACAGACAGTTAAACTTATTTTAGATTTTGTCAGCAAATGCAGATTTCAATAGTTTAAGGAGGTACAAACCATAAACATTTCGAAGTCATTTCTTACAAATAAAACCTGTAAGTACAGTAATGGCTTATTTGATCACTATCATACCTTTAACATAAATAACACTGATTCAGATTAATTCCTGTTGCGTCTGAAGAGCGACCAACTGTCAAATACTGTCTGCTAGTAATTCTAGAGTGTTTGTCTGAACACATGCGTGACTCACGTGTCTAGTTCTGAAGTATGATTTATCATAACCATCATAACTAATATTCAACATGAAACTGTCACTGACTAAACACATCAGAACATCATAGCAGAACTAAGGCCAAAAAAGAAAAATGTTGCGGTTCCGATGACACCTCTTTAAAATTTAGGGTAGGTAGGTAGGATTTTATTTATTTTTACAAGTAAAGTACAAACTAATAACACATTTATCAATGTGTAATTGTTTATTCAATCAAACTTGTGGCCATCATGTCGACTTTCTCAATCAGAATGACCGATGTCCGTCAGTGCCTGGAAAACACAAGGGTATCTGAAAGCTTATTTTATTCATATCACTTAAAAAATATAGGGTCGGCACCACAATTCAAGGATCTGAGTCGGGTAATCGGAACCACAACCTTTTTTTTTTTCATTCCTAATGTCTCTGTGGGAATATGAAAACAGATTCCTTTCTGCCGTTAGAATCTGGACGTAAATTCAGGGGAGATGATGAGAACACTTTATGATCATGTTGTTGTCGATGACGATGATGCTGAGAGTGGCATCCACTGGTAATTGTGAACATACATTTCAAAGATGTAAAACTAACACTACTTGAGATGCATAATTATGGATAAATGACGTATCCATGACAACACGATCAAGAGGGGGAAATAATTCAATCTGTTTATTCTGGAAATAGAATCAACAAATTCTCACAATTTCACCACAACTGAATCTAAATAACTTAAACAATTTCCTGTTCTATAAAGATTCTGATCAAATAAAATATTTCAGAAGTGACCAAGTGCCTGGTACACAGCAAATTTCAAAGCAAACATCTGATGCGCTGCACTATCACATGTACGTTTTCTCCAGGACCCTGGGACTTCCTTAAATAACCAGTGAAGCACACGCAGTTTCCCAGGGGTTGAGTTGTAGTAGCAGAAGGGAGGGGGTCGGTCTGACAGACAATATGGATGGGGTTTGTACAGACGTACCAAGCAGCAGGAGAACTAAGGGCAACTTCAGTCACTGACGGATCGCTCTGCCCAGACACCACACTTGTAGGAAATACTATTTTCATTCAGCAAGTTGCAATGACCAAAGTTGCAGCGAGGATGGAGGTAACAAAGTTGTACTAATAAAATTACCAGAGTTGCATAGAGGATCAGATGAACAGCGCTGCATTGAAGATCACATGAACAGAGTGGCATTGAAGATCAGACGAACAGAGTGGCATTAAAGATCTGAATAACAGAGCTGCATTGAAGATCACATGAACAGAGTGGCATCGAAGATCAGATGAACACAGTGGCATTGAAGATCAGATGACCAAGCCTGCATTTAGGACCAGATGAACAGTGTTACATTGAGGATCAGATGAACAGAGTCAAATCACTTAGGGTCAAAAGAAACAAGTTGTAGCGGGAATGAAAAAATATGTGCTTTAACTTTGGATGAAATCAAGAATATTGCAATGAGGATCAGATCAAGCAAATGTCAGTGAAGTTCAGATCAGCCAAATATCAGTAAAGCTCAGATCAGCCAAATGTCAGTGAAGATCAGATCAACCAAATGTCAGTGAAAATCAGATCAACCAAATTTCAATGAGAATTAGATAAACCACGTTGAAATAGATGAAACTGGAACACAGAATTTCCATGCAAGACAGCATACATATTCCTACTGATTATGGCCTGAAGTATTCTGACTTTGGCTCGGGTACATACCAATCCATATATTTAAACCATACCTGGGATACATATCTATAGTACCCATGTCAACAATGGCCCCTTTTGGCATTAGCACTGACAGAATATTTTCTACTATCAAATATGATGTTATTGTTCAGTTTCCCAGTCATATATTGGGCTTTATTTAGATATATCACAGGCAGTCAGGAGAGCAGAAAACTTCCGTCAAGATTTGGCCTCGCCTCACTTAATCCAATCCAATAAATCTTGGTGAGATTGATCACGAATGTCAAGATGAAGAATTTCACTCTGTGACAGTCAGAGCAATTATTCACCAAATATTTTAGATTTCATGTTCAGATAAAATGTCAAAAGTCCTCAATAAATCTCCAAAAATATTTTCTATCTCCAATTTCCTGATCCCAAGAAAAGGTCAGACAATTATAACCAAAGGTTTAAATAACCACAAGTAAAATAATATCAAAATAATAGAATTTGACATCCAATCAAAAGTTTATTAAAAGCATCTTCCCATATAATTCCCAGATGCCCCTTCCTCATTTATCAGCTCCAATAACTCTTCCAGGACTGTGTTGCAAGTTCAAGATGGATGACGGGAGTACTTCTGCACACAAGCGGACAAGATTTGGCCTAATCCACACCCTGACTACATGCTGGTCATTAGGAAAACAGTAGGTGACTCCATCTTGCAGGACTTAATCAATGGCTTGAATGTTCATCCTTCCTGTGGTGGATTCAACATAGCGTTTATCAATCATAACCTTCCTAGAATCAATGTCTGCTTCTTCCAGATGAAGCTAATCGCCTACTCTAGCTCAGCAGTAACGTACGCACGCTTACCCTCACTCCCTGGCCGAGACTTAGTTAAGAGGATCACAGAGGCCATCAGATCATTCCTTGACAAATAGCACAGAGCCATTAGGGACCGATCATAAAGAGACGATATAAATCTTGGTGTGAAACGTCTTCATTCTTTGTAAAGATTGCAGAATGATTATAACAAATCACCATAAAATCTCGGCCATGTTTTACCATCAAGAATGATTTTATCCTCAAACCTTTCAAACAATGACAATTTTTTAAATTGCCACACAGACTTGCATAATGTTGGTTACACAGTGAACACCGCGCAGCAAGCAGAACGATCTATATAAGTCAATAGCTACATTAGCACCTGATATCTCTTCTGACAGTTTCGTTTTCTTACCATTGATTTTGTCTCACATGAGTATTGTTGGGTCACTGCGAGGCGAAATGAAAGTCGGATCAACAAGTCGGCAGTTTTGTTGGCTGACACGGTCACAGGAAGAAAGACAACTCCCCCTACTTATCAATAACCCACATCAATCCTCATCCATCTCTGACAAAATGGAGATGTCCAAGACGACCCTACGGAATTGAATTTGGTGGGATTATCAAGGAGGAAGCCATGAACTTTGATAGCTGAGACAAGCATTGGCGCTGAGAATCAACAGTGTCTCTGATGCTGCGAGGACCCGCTGCTGATGTCGCTGTTGCTGAAGGAGGGTATTCCACTTTTGAGTAAAGGTGGTGGGGCTCTCATGAACATCAGTGGTCCATCTGAATGATTTAATCAATGTTCAGTCACCTCAATGATGAAGCTGACTGTACAGAGGTCTGACAGTGTTGCTGATCACAATATTCACCATCCTTCGTGAGTGAGTGAGTGAGTGAGCGAGCAATGGAATGAGTGAGTTAGTGTTATTGTGAAGATATGCACAAGTTAGTGCATGATAGCTTGTCAGTAACCAAATCTGGACTCTCCAAACCAGAGGTGGACAGCATGAGCACCAGATCAGACACTAAAACTAACAGGGACACCGTACTGGGTCAGGCACACAACACAGACTCAACACTGTGACAGACACAATACTGTGACAGACACACAACACAGGCTCAACAGTGACAGACACAATACTGTGTCAGACACACAACACAGGCTCAACACTGTGACAGACACAATACTGTGACAGGCACACAACACAGGTTCAACACTGTGACAGACACAATACTGTGACAGACACACAACACAGGCTCAACACTGTGACAGACACAATACTGTGACAGACACACAACACAGGCTCAATACTGTGACAGACACAATACTGTGACAGACACACAACACAGGCTCAACACTGTGACAGACACAATACTGTGACAGGCACACAACACAGGCTCAACACTGTGACAGACACAATACTGTGACAGACACACAACACAGGCTCAACACTGTGACAGACACAATACTGTGACAGGCACACAACACAGGCTCAACACTGTGACAGACACAATACTGTGACAGACACACAACACAGGCTCAATACTGTGACAGACACAATACTGTGACAGGCACACAACACAGGCTCAACACTGTGACAGACACAATACTGTGACAGACACAACACTGTGACAGACACAACACTGTGACAGACACTAAGTAATGGGACAGACACAACACTGTGACAGACACTAAGTAATGGGACAGACACAATACTGTGACAGGCAGGACGCACTACAGTAATGGATACACTGCCCCTGCATGCACCCATGTCGTACAGCAATAAGCATCAATTAGCGTCTCGCGGGAGGCCAGCGGCAGCAGAACGAGACAGAATCAAGCATGCGTCCGAGTATGACAGGTATTATGGCAGAATCAATTTACGAAGATTGTCCTTGAAGGTTTCCCAGATCTCATGCAATCATAAGGAAGAATGGTGCTAATTGGCTCCGGAAGTAGATTTCATATCATGATCGTGCTATGTAATAGAAGTGTGATATCGGTCAACTTGAAGGGGCCTTGGGCTAGGTAACTGCCAAGGTCTAGTGAGTGTTGATTGAATAAGGCAGCCACTCAATGTCCTTGATGATGACCCCTCAAGAAGAGCTGCACATTATCACTAAAGAGGCTTGCAGCCTAAACATACATACATCCAAAAAATGG